GAAATCCAAGCGAGAGACCTGATTGTGCTGCTTGTGTTAAATCCATCACAAAATAACAAACAAAAATGGAGGCTTTTTTTAGGGCTTTCTGGTCCTATTTTTTTTCAAGGGAAGGAGTAGAAACAACAGAAACAGCGACAACAACAACAACGTCTGAAGAAATTACAGTGAAAGTAACGAACTCTTGCTGGTGTTCTTGTGTCAACAGAGGCTTCCATCAAAATCAGAAACAAACCCTAATTCGGAAAGAAATTGTGAGCGAGAATATTTTTTTAGGGTAGTTAAATGGTAAAGGGCAAATGAACCTGGACCGAAAAGGGGAACGTTTGTGAATTGACCGGAATAGCCGGTAGAGTGAAGCTTCCTTCTAGGTGAGAGAGGAAGTGTTATGCTCACGCGGACTAAATTGAGGGCAGGTTCAGTGACAGTTACACCTGCGCGTCTTTTTTATTTTTTATTTTTCAATAAACTCTGACCGACCTTGATGTAGAGAGCGATTATGGTTTGGGCCCAAATGTCCAGTCTCCCTATGGGCCAGATCCCATTAATGTTGCTTACATATCAATCCATCAAACACTTAGCTGTCTAAAGTGGTTGCTTGCTTGTGTCGATGGAATGGAGGTCTCCTCCTTCTCCCCGTCTTCACCTTCTCCTTCTCCTTCTCTTTGGGATTATTTGAGCTTGTTAATTTTACGTCCTGCTCTCGCAATCTTGTTTGTGACTTCGTTTATCTCTATTGGTATGTATTTTGTTCCTTTGTTGTTTCGTGGGTGACTGTAATTTGAGGATTTGACTGGTGGAAATTTGATGATCAGGGTGGTTTTTAGCATGGAAGCTAGTGCTGGTACATGTGCCTTTGGTTCAAGAGATTTTCGGCCTGCGTAAAAAACTCGCCAAGCCTAAGCCACTGACCCGTCGAATATCAAGAATTTATAATACCATTGATGCCCGAAATTCCACTCCTGCTGGGTAATTTTTTATGTTTACTCTTTTTTTCTTTTTTTGTTCATTGTTTTATATTATTAAATTAAGATTTTAGGTTGGAGCCAGAATTTGAAAGTTCCATTCTTTGATTTATGTAGATAGTCAATTATATTGTTATATATATATATATAAATATATATATAT